ACCTCGATAGGCTTGCAAGGTGTGCCGATGAAAACCTGATGGCATTCAATATGGAGAAGTGAAAGGTGCTGCACCTCAGGAATAAAAACCTGCATCACATTTATAGGCTTGGCAATGCTACACTCACTAACACTAACATGGGTTCATTAGAGGCAGGTCCGGTCAGACCAACCTGGTGGCCTTCTACGACCAGGTCACAAAAGCCTTGGACACAGGTGTTGAGGTGGACGTAGTGTTCCTGGACTTTAGGAAGGCGTTTGACACTGTCTCTCACCCCATCCTCATTAAAAAATTAGGCGTCTGTGGTGTCAATGCCTATACAGTCAGATGGGTCGCAAACTGGCTGGAGGGCCGCACCCAGAGAGTGGTGGTGGATGGGTCATTTTCGACCTGGAGAGACGTGGGCAGTGGGGTTCTGCAGGGCTCGGTCCTCGGGTCTGCACTGTTCAATGTCTTCATTGGTTATTTGGACAAGGGGGTGAAAAGCACCTTGTTCAAGTTTGCAGATGACACTAATATGTGGGGAGAAGTGAGCATGCTAGAAGAGAGGGACAGGCTACAACTAGATCTCAACAGGTTACACAGGTGGGCGCATGAGAATAGGATGGGTTTCAATATGGATAAGTGCAGGGTGTTGCATCTGGGAAGGAAGAACCAGCACCATATCTATAGGCTGGGGAATTCCCTTCTTGTCAGCACAGAGGCAGAGAAGGATCTTGGAATCACTATGGATTTCAAGATGACCATGGGCCGCTAAGGTGAGGACGCGGTCAGGAAGGCTAACCACACTTTGTTATGGATCCATAGATGCATCATGAGCAGGTCCAAGGAGGTGATCCTCCCCCTCTATGCGGCACTGGTCAGGCCGCAGTTGGAGTACTGCGTCCAGTTCTGGGCGCCGCATTTCAGGAGGGATGTGGGCAGCATCAAGAGGGTCCAGAGGAGGGCCACTCGCATGATTAGGAGGCAGCATGGCAGGTGGTACGAGGAGAGGCTATGGGATCTGAACCTGTTCAGCCTCCACAAAAGAAGGCTGAGAGGGGATCTGGTGGCCACCTATAAACTTGCCAAGGGGGACCAGCAGGCAATGGGAGAGTCCCTCTTCCCCCGAGCACTACCGGGGGTAGCAAGGAACAACGGCCATAAGTTGACTGAGAGTAGATTCAGGCTAGATATCAGGAGGTGCTACTTCACAGTCATGGCAACTAGGAGCTGGAACCAACTTCCAAGGGAAGTGGTGCTTGCCCCTACTCTGGGGGTCTTCAGAAGGAGGCTAGACAGCCAGCTAGCCAGGGTTGTTTTACCCCAGCATCTTTTCCTGCCCATGGCAGGGGGTCAGACTAGATGATCTGCTTAGGTCCCTTCTGATCCTACCAACTATGAAACACAGTGACCAGAAGAGATTTGAGGGTCATGATTGACCACAAGATGAATATGAACCACTAGTGCGATACTGCAGCTGGCAAAGTGAACAAAACTCTGGCTTGCATCTACCAATGCATCTCGAGCAAGATCCAGGATGTCATCCTCCCACTGTACTCAGCCTTGGTGAGGCTGCAGCTGGAGTACTGTGTCTAATTCTGGGCTCCGTAATTTAGGAAGCTTGCAACAGTCCAGAGGAGAGCCACGCGCATGATCAGAGGGCAAGACAACAGGCCTTATGAAGAGAGGCTGAGAGCCATGGGACTCTTCAGCCTGTAGAAGTACAGGCTCAGAGGTGACATGGTGGCAGCCTGTAAGTTCATAAGGGGTGTGCATCAGGATCTGGGGGAACACCTGTTCACCAGAGCACTCCAGGGGATGACAAGGTCCAGCAGTGTCAAACTTCTGCAAGACTGTTTTAAGCTGGACATAAGGAAAAACTTCACTGTCCAAGCATCCAAGGCCTGGAACAGACTCCCTCCAGAGGTGGTGCAAGCCCCTACTCTGGATACCTTCAAGGAGCATTTGGGCGCTTATCTTGCTGGGATCCTTTGACCCTAGCTGACTTCCTGCTCCTTGGGCAGGGGGCTGAATCCAGTGATTTTACGAGGTCCCTCCCAGCCCTAATGTCTGTGAAATGTATTATATAAGATGTAGGTCTGGCTGCTCTGTGTCATTCTAGAAACTCCTTCAGAAGTGTAATCTGTGCAAACAGCGTAGTGAATCCTAGTGAGTTGTAAGAAACCATTCCTGACAAGGCTTGAATTGGGCTACTTTGTGACAATACAGTATCCTGGTGTTCCACAAAGGTATTACTTTTTCTCAATTCTCAGTGCAAAGCAATGCAAATATTCCTGCCTGAAGTTGCTATGCGTCTAAAGAAACAAATATGAGGTGTGTACTACGCCCTGTTCATATTGATGAGTCTTGTTGTAGGTTTTTGATCATCATTCATTAAATGTCAGCCTACTTAATTGTCATACTACACAGTGGAGAAGGAAGCATTACATGCATCTATCTCAGGGGTGGGCAGTTATTTGGCTCTGCGGGCTACATGAGGTTTGGTGAGCTGTCTCAGCCTGGGTCAGCAATCCTCCAACCTGTGCAACAGCTCACCAAAACTCCCTAAGCAGCCTGACCCCATCCACCTGCCCATGCAGGTCCTGGGTGGTCTCCATGGAGACCCTGGGATCAAGGGGCAGTGACAACATGGGGCTGGGGCCCAGGGCAGAGCAGCGATCCACTTCCCACTGCTTCTCCCTGCAGAACTGGTGCCTGTTGCAGGGATGTGCGGGCAGCAGATCATGGCTCTGCTCTGTGCTTGGCTGGGGTGGGGCCATGGGTGAGCGGGTGAACCCAGGGCTGGGATCACAGTGCCCCAGCTTCATGCTGTCACCATCCTGTGGCCTGGGCTGCTTTCTGTGCCTGGGCTGGATAGGACCGATCCACCTTGGGTCAGACAAAATCCCTTGGTGAGGCGTATTTTACTCACCATCGATCTATCTGCACTAGTGGTTTTCAGCCTGTAGTTCACAGCCCCCTGGGGATCTGCAGGCTGTGCTGAAGGGGTCCACAAAAGATGACTGTGCTGTATCAAAAGTTTGTGAGAATACCCACACTTATAATTCAAAGGGTTCCGCACATCCATTCAAATTTTTTTAGGGGGCCGCAAATGAAAAAAGATTAAAAACCACTGATCTACTGAGTTTACAGTGAGTGACAATTTAGCACTTTGTGAAACTATCCCTGCTTATTTTTTTCCCCATCAAGAGAAGCCAAAGCTGAGCATTTGAGCTTACTGAGGAAAACCAGGACTGAGGATCCCACTAGAGGACATGGCAAAATTTAAATCTCATTAAGACACTGTCAAACCCACATATAAGAATAAGCCTATTGACCATATGCACGACCTACTGTGATCAATGCCTTATTTTGGTGTCTGAAGTAGAAAATTTATTTTTAGATTTCCACACCTCTCTTATTAAATAGTATAAATGTATATGGCCTTAATTCAGCCTCTTTAAATATGTAACTAGTCCTATTTGCTTAAATGCTTAGAATGAAGCATGGACTTAATAAGTGCTTTGATTAATCAAGACTTAATATGACTGAACAAATGTGTCACTTACCCCTGTTGGCTGGACTAGATTTAAAGAGCACTTAAAATTAACCTTTCTAAAATGCTGTTTTTACTATTGGGCATATAAAATTCTTTCTTCTCAGAAACTTTAAAAAAAAATTAAGAAAACAGCCAGCTAGGATCTATATAAGGATGTTTTGTGTCATTATCTGCTGACCCTTTAGTACCAGTTAACAAATGCTGCCCAGAATGGTTTACAATAAATAAATAAACTAAATAGATTTGCTAATGTTAATTTTCATTTGACTATAACAAGGGAAGATTAGTAAGAAAAATATTTTCTTTGAAGATTTTAAATTTAAGTGCATAAAATAAGTGGGACTAATTTAAGTACATTTTAATATACATACAAATTTTACTGACTAATGCTTCTTCAGGACTTCTAGGTTTTCTGATAAGTTGTATTGTTTCTTATATGTAGCTTTGTGGTTTTTTTCCTCTGTGGGAAACTATTACAGATACTGTAAACTTCCAAATATTTTGTTTTTCAGGTGGAATAGATACCACGTTTTACTAATGCCAGTAAATTATATGGATTTCAAAATACAAACTAACAGATTATTAAAAGGGAACGACTATTTTTATACAGTACACATTTATTTGTGATTCTGTTTATCTGCATATTTATTTCAAGTTTTTGGTTCTTGTCCATTTTAATTTGAATATATTTCAAAACTACACAGTATAGCAGATTAGATTTTTTTATTTTATTTTAAGAGCACAAATTTTCACAACATAAATCTTCTCTTTGTCATATGAAGGTAAACAGTATTTAAGAGCATAAGCATTCTTGTTAGTTGCAGCTGATATTCTGGTAGAGCTTCAGGTTCCTTCAGCAGTACGACAGTACTCTGCGAACAGAATAGCCATGTACAAATAGCAGAACATGACTGTAAAGTACACATTTGTTTCAGTCTCTGTGTTGCTAGTGACAGGTGCTCAATGGTTGTCAGTATTGTTGTCAACAGAAGGAATCCTTTGACATTAAAGTCATCAGCTCAATCCTGATGCTGTGCGACTATTGGCAGTTCCATCAGGCTGAAGCTGATCAGTGAATGTCAGAACTGCTGCTGTTCTTCTGGGATGTCACCAGCCCTCTGTGTTTTGGGTTTGGCCTGGCTTGTCGTTTGAACTTACCACATTTCCCAACATTTTTCCTGTGGGAAATAAACTGATAGGTCATAGGACTGTAGGTATCTTCAGGGCATGCAAACTTGCATCCAGAGTGACTTACATAAAGGCTTGTAATGATTACTTTGACTCTAAGCCAATCAATGGTTTAGAGCACCTAGGGACTCATTAAATGGCATTTTTGGTATCTGCAACCTAGGTTTTGAGCTGTATTTCAGGAAAAGTGGTGCCAGCCTTTAATGTCTAATTGACCTCTTCTCTGTGTTTCACTTTCCATATTTGTCTCTGATGTGTTCCCCAATGGCAGCAAACAGCACTACTCAGCATTCTGAACTTCTGTTCAGAGCTTCAGCACCTCAGCCTGGGTAGCTGTGTCATGGTAAGTACCTAAAGTCCACCATGCATGAGTATTTGTATTCCCAAGCCTGGAATTATGTTTTTTTGTTCACAAAATTTTAAATGCTAATTTACTGGCTGAATTTCTGAACTAATGTTGGCCTATGCTCTTAGAAGGGCAGAAATGACTGTTGATATGTTTGGAGAAATACCAGCCAATTTGATAGACTTAAAGTTTAGCTTGTATTTTTTTTCATTCTTTTCTTCTGTCCTGGTTGAAAAGTTGAGGCGGTTCCTTAGACACATGTACCAAACCCCACAACCTCAGGACCTGGCACAGCAAGCCAAAAAGGGAAGTTCCCACTTTGTATAGAATATTAGGGGTTAGGATCACAAGCCAGTGAGCTAGGGAGAAAGGAACAGGTCCAGGTAAGTAAACATTAACATTAAGGTACATACACTTAGGAACTAAGTAACAGGTAATAACCAGTAACACTGTAGTGAATTTGCTTAAGAATAGGTAACAGGTAATGGGCACTACCACTGTGGTATACACATTCAAGAAACCTTAAACCCTCCTGCACCTCTGAAGGTGCTCCAAACAAGCCTCTGGTTCCAGGAGTGCTCAGTTACCACCTGCATGAGCTCCCGTATCCAAGCTCCACTGCTATAGTCTGCAGTCTCAGCTCCATCAGTTCTTTGGGATCTCTGGCCCATGCGTTTCCTTCTGCCACTGTCCCACACTGCCATTGCTTCCTGCTTCCTCTCCCTTCTGTCTCCCAATCCCCACTGTCTCTGGGGGTTGTAGTCTACATGCAGCCAGCACAATTCTGCAAAACTGTTCCCCCAAGGATTCCTGGAAGTTGTAGTCCAAATCCAGTCAGCAGGGCTGTGCCCCCTGCTGTTGCACATCAGTTCACACAGTATATTACATTAGATTCCCCCCCACACAACACTTTTAACAGTGTATGCCCCTACATCCAACTAGAGTTACACCATGTAGTCACTAAGCCACCTGGGAGGTTTTATTCTCTCTGTGGTCTACCTGTGAATTCAGGAATGGGTGCGCCCCACTGGCTTCGGACCAAAATTTTTTTGGGTACCCAGCTCTGGTCTTATCCACCATATTTGTTTATCCTTGCTATCTTCATTTCTGTCAGGCCATGGATCCCACCTTACATTTCTGGATCTAGAAGCACCTTCTGGCAGCACTTTGTTAGGCCTATCTGAGACTGTATTGGTGAAAGTTCGGTTATGAAGCCCCTAGGGTTGTCCTGGTTGTTCCCGAGTGGGCCTGACTATCTCTCTGGTCAGGCCAGGGTCCCTGTTCTCTGAGCATACATATGGTTTCATCTAAATAGTGTACTACTGATGTCTGTCCACCAGGCCTGCTTGCTAGCTCAGAAAACTTTCAGATGATGTATGTGGGCCTCTGGAACTTTTACATAGTTTTTGACACTGCCCTCGCTTCCTGGTCTGGTTCTGTTCTTCAACCAATTCCCCTGGTTCATAAACCTGTCCAGTGACCCTAAGGTCATAATACTCTTTTTGTCTTTGGGTGGCTGCAGCTTGATGTTTCTTAATAGCTTGGCTAACTGAACTTAGGTATCCTGCCACCTTCATAATGCATTCAGATGGGTTGTTACATTCCTCCAATACATTTTTTTCAGACATAATATCAACAGATAGGCAGATCTCCTGTCCAGTCAACGCTGAATGTAGTGCACACGCTGTAGATGACTGCACCCTGCACCAGTAGGCCGTCATGACGTAAGGGAGTGCCTTATCTCATGTTGTTTGATTGTCTTTGATCAAGGAGGATAGCATGTCAACCAGAGTATGGTTGAACCATTCCACCAGCCCATCAGATTGGGGGTAATATGGTGTTGTGCAGGCTTTGTTGATTTCCAAAAGGTCACATATGTGGTGAAATCACTGAGATTCAAAATTTCTCCCCTGGTCAGTGTGGAGGGCCCAAAGTATGCTATGGTAATGCACGAATCTTTCAACAAAAACCTTTGCTGCAGTCTGAGACTCCTGATTAGGGAGTGGGTACGGTTCTGCCCACTTGGAAAAATATACTAAGATATACTTGTTTCCATGCAGTGTTATGGGTAGGGGACCCAACATATCCATGGCTATCCTTTCCAGAGGTTATCCAGCCTGTGTGGAGATCATGGAAGCACTGGCATTACTCCTCATTCCTTTTCATGCACTGCACACCTTGCACAACCTACACCAGTCTCTGGCACATTTTCTTCAGGCCAACCAGAAATACTGGTACTATACCTTATGCAAATCTTTCTCCTTGTCCAAATATGCCCCCAGTATTGGAATCATGCAGGGCTTGCAAAAATTGTTGGTATTTCCTTCTTGGGTACCACTATGATTACGGAAGTTTTCGCACCAGTATTCCTTGCCTAATGCTTAGCTCAGTCCACACTATCTGGTACTATTTTGGGCATGGATGATGCTGCCCTTTCCCAAGGAACTCCTCTTTATTGATTTCCTTCCACCTAATTAGTTTCTCAATATCAGCATCTTCCTGTTTTGCACACCAATCTGCCAGCCCTGTGACTTCCATTGTAGTTGGGGTTGGTTCACTCCAGGTAGTTTATCTTGCTACTAGTGGCAGTACCCCCACTACCTCCACTTTAAGTTCAGCTTCTACTGTGGGAGACCAGTGGGACAAGGCATTGGCATTCTGGTGCTGCCATCCAGGGCAGCATACTATCTGATAGTTGAACTCAGCTAGCTGTTCCAACTATCTAGCCAGTTGTCCCTCAGGTTGCTAAAAATTGTGTAGCTACTAGACATTATGGTCTGTTCTTAACGTGAAGTATCTCCCTAGGAGGAAACCTTCTTGTAGCTGCATATTGGCGCTCAGATTTGGTTAGGGTTCAGCTTACATAGGCTATTACCTTTTCTTGACTTTCAACTTGTGAAAAACAGCTCTGATGCCAATGTTACTTGCATCAGTGACCAACAAGAAGGGTAGCTGAGGGTTGGGATTATGCTAAGATAGGGGATGACATCAACTCCTGCTTTAGTTCTAGAAAATCATATTGACATTTCTTAGTCCAGATGAACTTCATTTTAATTGTAATGAAACCTGCCACAGATCTCCTGTAATAGGAGGGTAGACTCAAAAGGCCCCACAGTTCTATTACATTTAGAGTTACTGGCCAAGTTTTAACAGCCTCCGCTTTCTCTGGATCTGGACCTATCTCCTCCGTGGAGATCACATATCCCAAAAAGTTTGCTTCCTTGCAGAAAAGCTGATACTTGGCAGGTTTAATTTTTAGACTGGCCTCCTTTAGCCTCTTAAGCACTGCTTTCAGCTCCTCAAAGTTTCAACCTATCACAGTGATATCACCTAAGTACACCAGACATGGTATCCCTTGAGAGGTCCCTTGTCGATCTGCTAACATGATATCCATCAATTTCTGAAATGTACTGGGACCGGTCATTGCATAGCCTCAAGGTCATAACATTAATTTCAAAAAGTCCCTTCTTAGTGAAGAAAGTGGTCTTGACTCTTTCCTCTGGGTTCACTTCCACTTGCCAGTACCCAGGTTTGGCCAGGAGGTCTAGCTAAGTGTCATCAATCTGAAGGAATGGATGGGCATCCTTAACAGTAATGTTGATCCGTCTGTGATTATCCACACAGGTCTGTACCACCTCCCCGCTTCATCAACACCAACACCACAGGGGCAGCCCATAGGCAGCCTGATGATGCCCTGTCTCATTTCTTGCAGTTGTTGGTCAAACTTTCGCTGACTTCCTGCACTGACCTCACTTGCTCAAGTTTCAGGCTACAGTGACTCAGCTTAAACTTATGTTCCAGTTTTCCTGCAGTCGATTGGAGGTTATCTTGTAGTTCTCTAAAATGTGGATTCTTGTCTGCTCAGGACCCTTGTAGCAGCTGACCTCTCTGATCCACCTTCAGGACAGCCATCCTGGTTTGAAATGTCCTAATTATGCTTCTTGATATGCAACATTCTGTCTGTGCATTTGCAGCATGCATTGGGATTTTACCCCTGTGGCTCTTACCCAATGCAGTTCCCACTAGGAATCCTAATCCCTCATTGTGTTTAGGTTTAGATGAATCCTCCTCTTCACAACACCATCTCTTCAGTTTGCCAGTGATCATTATCTCACTTTGAGGAGGTATGGTTAGATTCTTCTCCACTACCGCTTCACATATTCCTGTTTGGCCATCTGTGGTATACAGGAGAAAACGCCTTCCCAGGTAGGAACAGGAGAAATCTGCAAAATTCATAGTGACTTGATATTTTTTTGGGGAAGTGGGTGCCTAACAAGACATCTTGATTGGCATCCTTTACTACAAGGCATTTACATGGAAGCTGCAGGCCTTGGAAATCAAGAGCTATACTCCACTCTCCCAGAATAGGGAGCATTTCCCCATTGGATGCTAGTCCACAGGGTTGATGGTTCTTTTCTGCCCCTGCTGTAGCTTGCTGTCATATCTGGCTACGTACAATGGATACCTGGGCACCCGAATCTAAGAGGAAGTGGCAAGGAACTTCTCCTAGCTTCCCCTTTAGGTAATACTCCAACTCTGCAGCACCAGCAATTACCAACTCATCCTGTGGGCTCATGGGTTTACCAGCAGTGGATGGACCCCTCTCCACTGCCCACCTCAGTTTCCCAGTATGGAATGCCACTTTTTTTTTGGGCATTCCCTGTGAAAGTGATCATGGCTGCCACAGTACCAGCATCTATGAGCAGCCCCCTGATGACACCCCAGTCACTGTAGTCCCTGGAGACCTCCACCAGCATGTCTGTTTTGGGACTGGGTCTCCATACTTTTCTTGAGTTGGTCCAGTTCACCCCAGATTTCTTTCAATGTCTCCATCATCCTTAGCAAGACTGATGGTTCTGGGTTTGGAATGTGTACTGATGACTTCTCCTTGGCATGCACTTGTACCTTTGGGTGTACCTGTACCCTTGGGTGTCCTGGGTACCTAGAGCCCCCAGCTTTTTTTACCAGAATCTGGCCTCATCCAGAATCTGGGGCTTTCCCAGCCAAATTTCAGTCTGTATCTCCCCACTTAAGTTATTGCTGACAAGCTGGTCATGGGCCAGCATGTCTTGTACCTCTGGAGCAACTTGTGGGAAGGACTTTACGGCTAATCATCTTATGGCCATGCCAAACTCTTGTACTGACTACTCTGCCATCTTCTTAGGATTTAAGGGTCTGCACCTGGTTACAAAGCATTCTTGAGGGCCCTTATCAGGTGCTGGTAATCTTAGTTGGCTTCACTGCTGAGCCCACAGTAAGCTTCCCTGGGCCCTCCCTTTGAGTAACAGGCTCAAGAATTTTAGCCTGGTGGCCCCATCTCATCCATTTAACTCAGCTGCCATTTCAAACTGTTCATACCAATCATCCATTCATGTCATTCCCCACTAAAGAGTGCTGGGTTGAATATTGGCCTCGAGATACTAGGTGTTGGGTTGTGGGGGTAGGAACGTGTTTCCCTCCCCTGGGGTACTCATCTTCCCTGATCACATACCCATACAACAAAATGTATACATTCCTGCAGCAGTTTGCTGTGTGCCTTCTGGTCTGTGACCACCAGTCCCCACTGCTACCACCAGTTGTATCAAACTCCACAACCCAAAGAACTGGCACAGGAAGTCAAAAAGGGAAGATCCCATTTTTATTTAGAAAAGGCAAGGGGTTCACAAGCCAGCGGTCTAAGAAGAAAAGAACAGGTGCAGTGAATAAACATTAACATTAAGGTACATACACTTAAGTACACTTAGGAAATAGGTAATAAGCCATAACACTGGGTGCGCCTACATGAGACGTTTACTGCATTTGCCTAATTAGCTCTGCGATAAAATGTCAGCAGTGCTATTAGGATGGAGTAAACTCATTAACTCTGCTGTAGGATAGTACTGCCAGACCCAAGTACTTATCCTGTGGTGGGGTTATTTACTCTGCCGCAGTGCACATGTAGACACTGACAGGGCTGGCTGGGGCTGGCCCCTGTACTGAAGCATTCGTGCTCCAGACAGCCCCTCCACAATATATTGAGCTGGATCAGAACAGCCCTGGGCTGGCAGGCTGACCCCCGGGATTCCCTGCTAGCCAGGGTTGCATCACCCTGGCTAAATGTGCTGTGGTCCCGGGCACACATGCAAACAGCACACCTGGGAGCAACAAACTCCGGCACGAACTGTGCCAGAGTTAATTCAGGCATGCTGTTTGCATGTGTAGATGTGTCCACTGTAGTGAATTCACTCAAGAACAGGTAGTGAACACTACCATCATGGTACATATGTTCAAGAAATCTTAAACACCCCCATACTTCCAGAGGTACTCCAAACCAGCTTCTGGTCCAAAGAGCGCTCAGCTGCCGTCTGCATGTGCTTCCACATCTAGATCCCAGCTCCGTGACTTCTCCAGGATCTCTGGCCACACATTCCCCTCTACTGTTGTGTCCCCTGCTCTGCCCCTGCTTCCTATTTCCTTTCCTTTTTTTCTCCCTACCCCCATTGTCTCTGGGGGTTGTAGTCTGCAGTCAGCACAGTTCTGCAAGACTATCTGCCCTGAGGACTCCTAGGAGTTGTAGTCCAAATCCAGTTAGTAGGGCTGCACCCCCTGCTACTCCCTCTGCTGTCGCACATTCACATTACAGTGCATTACATTCTGTTCACACAGTATGTTTCCCCCCAAAACTAATTTCCAAAGCTTAATTTTACGTAACGTGTGTATTCATTAATAGCAACTCAGCATTCATGAGTAAGGCCCTGAGAAAATTATGGGTTTCTTATAGAAAATTTGCGGCACATGCATGGGTAAAGTATCATTTTTTCACATAATAGTCACAGAAGTACCATTGATCTTGGCAAATGAGTCCTCATCATTCCGTAAATATTCTGTGAATAATGATACTTTACCCACGCATGGGCGGCAGACACCATAAGCAGTGGGGGGATAATATTATTGGGGGGGTGGGGGGGCTGAG